GCAGTGCAATTACCATTATTAATAACACTAAAAGTATACTAAGTTGAAAACAAACTCACTTTGAAACTGGAATTATTGAAAAGTTTTAAAAAATGGGCGCAGTCAGACCTTCAGAAATTCAGGTCGCAACTAAAAAGCCTCTGTCTGATATTTCACAGTACAGACCTCTGACGCTCGTTCAATAATCAGTTAATATTTTTTTTTACTTTTAACGGATTTCTTCGGTAGAACAAGTATTGAACCAACCCCCCTCGATTATCGCATCTAGTTTCGGGCCCACGTAGAATCGTGGGACCAGTTGTTTAAAAGGCTAGTTAACTTTTAACTGTAGTTAAGGACAGAATTGGCCAATCAGAGTCGTGTATTTCTGAGCTAACTAGGATTTAACTATGCAAAATATAGTTAAAGAATTTTATACAACCAGCCCTTGGAATTCAGTGATTCGTGCAATATTGCCGGATCAAGTTATAGCTTGTGCCTACAATACCAGTTCTTAGTCTTAACCGTTAAGCATGATTTGTTTCGTTATTATCTCATTTAGTAATGCCTTAACGAATTTTGGCGTTTTATTTCAGTTGCGATATCAAATAAGCCACAAGCTTACCTGCAGGTTCTATTCCAGCCGGAGGCCGGTTGTATAAACATTTTACATGAATTATATTGTTAAATCCTTGTTATCTCAGAAATCACGACTCTGATTGGCCAATTGTGGCTGGCTAGGTTTAATGAAAATTCAACCTGACCCCAAATGTCTATATATTTTTCGTGCGGAAAAACCAGTTATAGTTTGTTTTGTTAAAACCAATGTATTTTATGTAAAACATAATAAATATTATGATTTTTTAACTTTGCTTTTCAGAATAATTTTTTTGCCAATATAAAAACTAATAAAATTATAAGTTACATTACTGAGGCCGGGGAATCATTTTTAGCGGTTAAAGTCAGCCGCGTTGATTTTTTTTATTCATCAATCTTTCTTTTAAGTTTCTTTGCAAGTTTATTGGAGCATGTGGGTTTGACTTCTTGCCATCTGATGCTTTCATGAAATTTCTCGCCACGTTTCTTTGTGGTCATAAAGAATTCGAAGATATTATCTGCGAAAATGTGATGTTTTTGTTATGTGGTTATGATGCTGCTCAGTTAAATAAGGTACTTTTTTTTCCTTTTAAAGGGTTTTTCTCGATGTAGTTTAAGAAAGTGAAATGCGAATGGTCCTAAATTTTATTTTTATAATTTTTTTTTAAGACTCGTCTTCCGGTCTATATTTCCCACACTCCTGCGGGAACGTCAGTAAAGAACATTATTCATTATGGTCAGGTATGCAGTAATTCCATTACTTTATGTTATATAATTGGAATGTGTAATTTACGACACAAATGCAGGCAGAGAATATTTTAGGGCAGAAATTTACTTGCAATGAGCATTGCTTTGCAAACAAAGATACAGAGTTTGCAAGAGCGTCTCTTTTTCGTTCATTACCTATAAATTCAAATGAATGCAAGTGAAGATATGCTATTACTTGGTCACAGTAGTTTTGATTGAAAGAGTTTACCAGATATTAGGGTGTGCTAGTAGATTGGAAACAACTAACTTAAGCTAGACAGAACGTCTTTATTAATCAAGTTTTACTATATTTTATAGATGGTCGAATCTGGGAAATTTCAAAGGTTCAACTATTACAATAAAAAGGACAATTTGGATCATTATAACATGGTATTTTTCATACAATTTTTGTAATGTGGCAGTACCTATATCTGATCACTGCTTGCATGGGTTACTCGTGTAGAAGCCGTGACCGCTTAATTACAGGGGTGTATCTTTATGTATTTTGTTGATAACATACCATAGTAACAATCGCTTTCAAAAGAAACATTCAGCATAAGACGAATACACAAATTCATTGTATAGCTTTTCAAGATTCTGATTGGTTGACGAGTCCGTAAAAACCCATATCCGGACCATGTCCGTATATTCCGTATCTGGACCGCTATCCCGGATATCTCATGTAGTTCAGCCATATAATTAACAGATTATTGACCTCGCTTGTTCGATCTGTTCTGTGAAATATCACACCGAGGTTTTTTGCATGAACCTCGCTCCTTCGTCGCTTGGTCCATGCTAAAAAGCCTCAGTCTCGGTCAATAAACAGTTAATACATCCCCGCACAATTAAGCTTTTTGTTATGGCCACATAACTCGTTGAACTATTTGAGGTTAGTTCCGAACAGTTAATCGCTGGATCGGAAAGCTTAGTTATTATTGAAAAATACAAAGGAATCATTGAAGAAATTAACATGGATTTTTGTTTTCGCTAGACTGAACCACCTGTATTTAACGCGTCCCATGTTTCTGTACCGACTGTACTATATTACGGCGAGCATGACTGGTTGGCTGACCCACGCGATGTAGCTTTACTGGCCAAAGCCCTACCAAACGTTATTTACAGTCAAGAGATACCGAAGTGGGAACATCTTGATTTCATATGGGGTCTTGATGCAAGTAGATTGGTCTACAAACCTCTTTTGAAATATTTGAATGAGTATGCTATGTTGGAGATTATGGCATAAAATGTTCCGAATCAATGAAAATACTGTAGCTATCTATATATCAATGAGTCTGAAATGTCGGCCAGTATATTTTTATAATTTTAGATCACATAATGTTACAATTTATGGCTGCACGATTTTTATTGTCTTTAGAAAAACAGTTGAAATTCTTCATAGTCAAGTTGACCGGGGCCAAGGCCCATATGCAGACCGACCGAACACGATTAGCTTGGCTTGCCCAAGACGTCAGTATCTTCATTGCTTGGAACATCTATTGCGAACTCAAAATTGGGGGTTCATTTTGACGTATTAAATTGGTGTTAATCCAAAATGAGTATCTACGAGTAATTTCGAAAAAATCTATTTTAAAGAAACAAGGGGGAATTTCGTTTTGAACTGATCGGCAGGCTAATCCAATTAGAATGCCAAAATATATAATACTTTATGTAAGATGGTAAATGGTAAATAATGTATCTTTTTATCGGAAGTAGCCAATATTTATGCATTCTGATTGGTTACAGAAATGTAAACATAATGTCTGATTGGTCTAAAACGAAATTCCTCCTTGTTTTTTAAAGAATATTATATTAGATGGAGAATGCAATTAGTAATGAGAATAATTCGTGACTGAAAGTGCCTGATAATCACGCTTTATGAATGCAACCTAAAGTTATGTTTAAAGGAAACAAACTTAAAAGTTGTGCTGCATAAGATTATGTTGACTGCCCTTCGCAATCTATAGTTCTTATTCACAATTACAAGTCGTCGCGTTTTCTATCTGTGCCCGACGCATTAAAAATGGTAGCTGCATGCATCAGTCGGCGTGCTCTTAATTCGTTCGGTACATGAGAAACGCGATGATGTAATTATTAAATTTTAGATAATGAAAGAAATGAGTATATTAATATATTTAATTAGAGAAGGAAGGAAAGAAGTACATATTAAATATATTTAATAGAAGTGCAGTCTTGTCTTTCATTTATCTATTAAGATCAGTGAATGTGTGACCAGAACTAGTAGAAAAACACAATCCATACGAATGGTTGTCAGGGTCGTCGCCAGAAGATTTTAACTTTATAATATAGATACGCGAAGTTCATTTCAGGAGCGTAGGAAGGTATTGAGGATTGGGGGACAGAGCAAGCTACGAGCACCACCATGGTTGGCGCCTCGTTAGAATTTTTTTTATATTTGATTGCTCTAGATACGGAAAATGATCATTTTAGAACACAAGTATACATGTGTTACTGTCTGTTTCAATTTCAAATTTCAAAGTTTGAATTTCAAATAATTTTCTTTTAATTAAAGTACCGTTTTGTTATCGGGCTTGAAAGATACGCCCCCCTACATATATTTAGAGAGCTTTAGAATTGACTACGACTCCCACTACCGCCACGAGATTCGTCACATTGACGTGATATTCGTGATACTTCATACTGACGCAGCACCCCTGCTTTCTACGCCCTTGGGCTTGGTTCATTCGACCCTTTGCGTGGTCGTTAGTCATGCATTACCCAACAGAGGCCGGTTGTATCAAGCCCGTTCAGCTTTAACGGTGGTTAAGTTTAAAATAGAAAGCAAGTCTATCGTTTTATTCAACAAACGAACTAAATTTTTTTAACCTTCATATACAAAGATACTGTTTACAACTACAAATCCAGTGTATATTATTCAAGTTGACTCATTCAAGAGAGACTTAAGCTAAACGGGCTTGATACAACCCGCCCCAGGAGAGCAAAGGGTAAGTTTAGGCAGGCCGGAGTGACGCAGGTTTTGATACGATCGCTTTTATATATAGAATTATCATAATAGCCCTGAACAAATATGCACTCCCCTGTTTATTAGTGAGACGCAGTGAACTCTGTAAAGAATGGAACGATAGCTGACGCGGTTAAGAATAGGATCATCTGGCCGCCGCCACCATGCAGTGCCAGCCCAATCGTCTGCGACCATGAGGAGAAAAACTATAAATGAATTGTTTTAAATTCCAGATTTGAAAAAAACTTTTAGCCAAAAAGGCTTCATGCCAACCAGTGACTTTAAAACTCATAATTAAAACTATTTTACAGCATTTATGTTCGACAGCAGTTGCCCAGGAGAAGATACCACCAATATTTTATGCCCAGGGGTTGTTGAAAAATCAAGCTAAAACATGTCGACATGAGCATAAGCGTTTTTTCTGATAGTTGGGCGTTGTTCAGATTGGCAAACATTTTAGGGAGTGAGTTGTCTTTTATCAAATTTATGGTACAACATACCATACAAACGCCATACAAAATTTTTTTAATGAATATTCATTTTATCCATTGAAGAGACTCAAATTACCATTCTGGTCTCGTGCGAACCACTCTGGTCTATTTAATCGAACTTTGCCTTTCCCAATACTCGGAAACCATCTACCCTCTTAATGCCAAAGAAAACATCACACGGTAGATGTTAAAAATATGGGCGTGATTTAATTGTTAAGTTGATATCGAATGGTGCATTTATTTACACAACTTAAGTATAGAGGTATTTACAACAAATACAAATGAATAATTTATAAAATGTGACAATAAATTTATATACAATGTAGCTTAAAGCCGAGATTATCAAAAACATCTACAAGCTTTACAAGTGTATAGGCCAATATGTTTAAGACAAAACAAAAGTAAAATATACTTAAGCAGTTGATTGGATAATTGGATTAAACTAGGCATGACTGGGGCAGGTTGTAAGAAAGCTAAATTGCGCGATTCAACGCCACCCTTCACGCATGTAATTTCAAAGCCTTTTAAATCTTAATAAACCTTAAAATTTAGTTCCAGTGGTTCTGTTCCAACAGCGTTTTACAACGGTTAAGATCACTATCCGGTGGATAGCGTCAAATCCAGCTTTTAACAACCGGCCCCGGACAATTTAAAAATAATTCCTATAGTTTGAAGCGAAGGTTTTTCTAAATCGTGCAGAAATTTACTAAACTAAACCGTCGTTAATTAATTCAAAAATTTGCGCAGTTAGTGAAACTTATTGAAAAGTTTGCGAAACTATTGAGACATTGTCAAATACAACTTATTACGACCACCTAGGTGGAGCTTTGTTCAAACTTCCACTCTTGATCTTAGGAGTGCATGTCGAGTCACAAAATAATAAAGGAAGCTGTCTGACATAAGTTACTACAGTATGGAAAATGAATGCTGCTGTACAAGATTAAGAAGTTGATCTCATTCTGAAAACCAGGGAACTGAATCCAGAGAACTGAATGCAGAGAAACCCACGATTACGAAAGAGATGACAAATGTAAATTTTGCCATAATATCTACTGCCAGTTGAATATTGTTTAGTGGTAAAAAACAAATTGACGTATTTTCGGAGTACACATTTAAACAGGAATTTATGCTTTGTTGTATTCTAATTCAACAGCGTTGTGTGTTTTCGTGCTATTTTAGCATTCTGAAAAATGTGCATCCGACATTCTTTCCGTAATGATAGAATACGAAAGTACAGACATAAAACAGGTTTTGCATGGTTGATGTCTTTTGGTTAATGTCAGGTTTGGTCATGTCTTTCAATTTAAGCCAAGGTGGAACGTCATCTTCGAAACAGAAATTTCCTAGAAAGCATGTTAATATGGAGAAACCATGTGTATATTACGCATGACGCAACCACCGTCTAGACTCTCATATAAACAGACCCGCATATATATTGCAGTGTTGATAGTTAATGCTAAACATGTACTTTTTCTAGAAGTTTCTGATTTCTGGATTAGGTGTGCTATATAACAGGTTACAATATTAGAGACAGAAGCATTAGAAAATGTTTTCTGGTGCCATAAAAGGCCTCGCTTATAGATTTTGTGGTGATTTGCAATTGGCTTTGAATCTCGAATTCAATCAAAAATGCAATATTAGGACACAATGCATATGTCCAGTTTGTGAAGCATCTACGCATCTCGCACTCTTCTAACTATATAGATCGTTTGCACCTGACGACATATCAACCAAATTGCCTGAAAATGATTGTAACGATGATAAGGTGGTTGTCTTTTGGTGATGTGTTGGTTATGTCTTAATTGATCTTTATTAGAACACCAAAGTAAATATTAAGAGGTTTTTTTTGGTAAAAATGCTATTAAATTCGTTAACGGTTTACTAAGAAAAGCAATTTGGTTTCATATTTTTGTAAAGGTGTGAACTATTCAATTGGTAAATAGTATTGAAAACATGTCTTTTTTATATGCAATACAATGTCTGATTTCAAGAGGCAAAATCTAAAAGAAATATATGCAATAATGGCCACAAAATATTCTTTCTTGACTTTTGTATTTTGTGCAAAAGGAAACATAATATATAAACCACAAGATCGTATATTTTTTATCATGTTTTAAAGCAATAGGGATTGATGCATGGTCTTCTCATTACACTGTCTGATTCGGTCACCGCATGCAGGCTGGAAACGATCTATATAAGTTCCAAGTGCTTTTTGAGAAGACAGACAAGTATGTTTATAAATTAAAGAACAGTAACTTATTCGCGGTTAGATATTCGCTCTGCTCTGCATTTCTATATAACGGATTTTGTATGGCTTCAAAACGATAACCCTTCAAAGAATCAATGTTTGGTGGCCGTGGACTGGCTCTTAACTAAAATAAATGGCAGGCTATCTGTAACCAGAGACGTTTTTAGTTGAAACGAGTTGTTCCACGCGGGTAAACACACAGCCAAATACGAAATATACCCTTACACACAAATTTCACCACCAAATTTTGGCTAAAGGTAAGCGTATAGACGCGTATTTATCTTGAGACAGCCTTTCTTTTATTTTAGTTTTATGCGGTTAATGCCCGCAATGTGTAATTTTTCTGGAAATAAATAATTTGACAATGCCATTTAATATTGGATGTCCATGCATGATAACAAAAATGATGCGGCCATATTCATTTTCGTCGTTTTTTCCTGTGACTCAACCTGCGATAAAATGAGGGATGCAGTTGGGCTTTTACGTCATTGGGCAGGCAACGAATTGGAAGAGATTTCCGATAGGACGTCTCAATTTCATCGAATGGCACCCACTCATCTGGCAGACTGAAAGGAGAAATTCGTGCATGATGAACAAAGCGTAAAATATAAAGCCTTGTTTCACATGATACGCTTAAAAATTTAGGAAAGCAACTATTGAAATTATATATTTATAAATGCATGATATATAGAACAAATGGTGCAAAAGGTAAGGTTTAAGACAACACGTCATCATTGGGGGAGAGCTCCACTAAACCGCAGATGTTAATTGAAATGCAGGAGAACTATAAGTAGGACGTGGAGTCTGTAGTTTTCCACGTAAAAAACAGCGCATGCAGACAGCGTCTAGAACTCTCTCATATATAGGGTTCTCTTAATATCAGCCGTTGTCGTGGCGTTGAGTTCTACACTGTTAATTTTGAGGTGCTAAAATAGCACCAGCGTAGGTGCCAAATCAACACATTGCAGTGGTGTTAAATAGAAAGTGCTATTTTGACACCAATTTCGGTGCTAATTTAACACCACCAAATCTGACATTACGCTAAAAGTGCCAATATGACACCTTATAATTTCAGCACCTTTGCAAGGTGCTGAAATAGCACCTATTTCGCAGACGGAAAGTGCTAAAATAACGCCAGATTGAGGGTTAAAGTATGGGGTGTCAAAATAACACTAAATGGCGGTAGAGAATTTTCGACTTTATTACAAAGTCATCTTCAGACAGAATGGATAGGGAAAGAGCGGTTATTTAAGTTATTGGAAAATAAATCTGTATTTTCGAATCAATGTTTTAGAACAGGAAATTCCTGTGCGTTTTCGCACAACTATTCATCTGAGTGATCTGACGACATGGAAAAAAACCAATAGAGACGAATACTAGACAAATGGTACATCGATAGTGATGCATTGTCCTTTTCATTTCATCAAACTGTGTTATTCCGTGCTATATTTTCGGACTGCTTATGTATTGATTGCTACAAAGTATTTATTTCGCAATCGCCTGATATGTATGTCCATATAAGGAACAAAATATAACACGTGATCAGCGCCTGTATGCAAATTGCCAAATTTTGAGCGCGTCGTTTGAAAACTCTTTTGAATCGTATTTCATACTGCCGTGTTAAAGACGTTTTGAGCGTATTTCTTAACTATTTTGGTACTTCTAAATATGCTGAACAGCAACGGACTCACATAAGGAAATATCAAGACAATTGGCTATGATATTATCTCAGAAATATCTTGGTAAGTTGAATTGAATTGAATTTGATCGAGTACGGAGGTCCACGTTCGCTCAAACGGCCAAATCGCCAAACAAACAAATGTGTGTTATTTATTATTATAGAGAAGCCAAATGAATTCTACTTATAATACTGCGATGATCTCTTTAGCAATCTGGGTCAAAGAAAATATCATTGCAATAATAGGTATCTATTCATGTTTATTTTACCGTGATTTTATGAAGCATCTGCGCTAAGCTCTTATATTGATGTAATTTAACGATATTTTATCCTATATTAGCAGTTGACAATTTGTGTCCTATTTGATACATTTGATGTTAGAGAATGTTTTTTGTTTCATGGAATATATGTGCCTATATAATATGTCTTTTGATAACATTATTGAGACATAAAATCTCCTACAGGTTACCTGAAAGTACTATCTAATAGCCTGCTGAAAAATTTGAATTCAACTTGTATTCTAACAAATACTGTCAGTCATTCAATTGCCCAGCCATTGATTGTGTTCTATAGTGAGGTTGAATTGTGGACTGATACATTTATCAACTATAAATAAATCTACAATACCTATGATTAATTATAATTCTTGTCTATTTTAAGTTTTCACCAAGATTGAATGAAGGCCTCAAATGTGGCAGATTAAGGGGAAACTGTAATTCTAATGATATGACAAGGGTATGAAGGGATATTTACTGTCAACAATGAAAGTGTATACAATTAATGTATCCAACCATGGAAGAAAAATAAAATATTTCATCTATGAAAATTTAGAAATATCCCTTCCTTGCTGACTCAATTGTGGTTGTGGAACAGTAAGTGATAACCTTGTTGTTGTAATCTTTATGATTATCTGTGTTTGCCAAACTTGGTTTCTGTCGACCATCTTAGATTTTGTATTTTGTGTGGTTTGTATTTTGAAAATATTCCTGAAAATCCTAATCCTGATTTTAAAATGTTCCTGAACTAGAGTATAGTTGAATAGTTGGGAGTAGGAAATTGAATCTGGTTGTAGGCATGCTATCAAAAAATACAGTATAACACCTCTATTATACGTATATACCCTTTATTAAATGGATCTGACTTGTTAAACATTCATTCTGATACAGGGTTCATGGACCATAACAAGGCCAAGGGTAGAAACAATTTTTGAAGAATATCCTGCACTTCAGCTTATATTACAGAGGTAAGTTTGCTTTTAGTTTACAGCATTCATGTTGATAGAAGGTACCTGTTGGATTGATGTCAAGTGCTCTATTTCAACACTTTGCCATAATTCTTGTTAACAAACAATCCAAACAGATAATTGACTGTCAAATTTCTTTGTTCGACATAATACCCTACCCCTAACCCTAAGTTTGACAAAACTCTGTGGGCTGATTTTGTTTTTTAGACACTTTTAAAGTCCTCTTTAAAAATATTTGTTATTTATTATACGTTGTTGATTCCATAGATCAGGACCCAAGGCTAATTCGTTCAGAAGACCTTTCAGATGTTCAAACTTTGATGATTGCGGTGGAGGGGCAAATGTTAACTTATCAAAGAACAGACTCAACTTCATTTTATCTACTAAACATGGAGTACATTGCTGGTGTGGCAAATGTGTGTGCATTCTTGGAAACTGCTCTCGTCGGGAAGCCTTAGGACAAAAACTTTTGAAGGACGTTAAGTACCGTAAACATTTTAAAAATTCTTGTAGCTACGTAGATTTTCCAGTCACAGCATATGAAGAAATAAATATTTTTTAATCGCATTTGGTCTACTTCGTATGATTATAGCTTATGCTATTTAGTCGCTCCATTGCTAGCGCTAAAAGTGCAAAAACTAATCCACACAAACTTCAGGTGTTAGATTAACACCAAAAGTAGGCGTCAAACTAGCACCAAAGATCGTGCTAATTTGACACCTTATTTCGCGGTGTCAATTTAGCACCCGATATGGTGTTATTCTGTACCTTTTTATTTGACACCTTTTTTGGTGTCAATATGACACCGCAAAATTAACAGTGTACAGTACATGTAGTTATACGACATAAGTCAGGGAAACGTAACTTTTCTTCAAATGCAGTCTTAGAAGGGTCTGTGAAGCGTTTTGGCCATGTTACGCGAATTTTCATATTCCAGAGACATACATATAGAAAGTTTGACATAATAGCTACAATATTTCCAAACATTTTGAACGATAGTGCATAACTGATCCGTATTGCAATTCATCCGACCTATGGCTTTCAATAACATCTGCGTGGAAAATGCATTAATACATATTAATATACATTTTCCAAGCATGCATGCGTGTTATCAGGGTCGAAGCGGGAATATGTGTATTGCAGAATCATTCAGCCAAGCTGAACGAATCAGCATCAACAACATCGCCACCGCAATCAAACTATTACACAATAAAATGAACTGATTCACTGATTCGTATAGGTTGGTTTATTTCGACGAAGATTAGACAACGAGCATTTTGCCAACTAGCAAAGTCAGGAGAATACTTCGATGAAAACAAAGCTTATAGGAAGGTGCTAAAGTAGACGTGGGATGTGAAAATAAAGTGATTTTAGGACAAATACTAAAACTCCACGGTAAGTTTAATAATAATTTGATAAATATGAATATTTCAAATTCATGCATGCAAATTACAACTGCGTGGTATACAGGAATTGTAAAGGGTAATTCTACTGAAATATGCATGACCTGCAACCATCATGGACAATTGGGGGAAAGTAAACAGTTAGTTTATACATTACATTGATTCTGGTATCCAATGAAGTAATATCTCCTTTTCACCCTTCTTGCTTACTCTTTTACCAAAAGGCTGGAAGAAAAAAAAAAAAGCTAAGTTGTTTTAACACATATACAAAATTGAATGATTTATATCCATCGCGAAAAGGGATTCAGTTTGAGGAGTACAGTAATCGACAGCGTCTGTATTAGGGAGGGAAGTTCAGAAAAGTTTTATATAGAGACGTGAGCGAAACGATTCGCATTTCCGGAAGGCTGGTATTTAAGAAGTGTTTGTATCGAACAGGACGCCTGTCCAAGACAGGCTTTTTCTTAAGGCCTCTTCGCACATTCAATTTTGTCGGATCCAATTCACTTGAAGTATGGAATAAAGTCTGTTATTGATAAAGTAGTGCTGCATTGGCTTAAAATTATCTGCTGCCCATATACATTGTAAGTAATTAGACTATTAAAATCTATCAAAAGTGAATCGGATCCGAGAAAACAAGCGAACAAGCAAGTGAACGCCGAATATTGAGTATCAATCGATCCTCCCAACGAGCATTAATCAATAAACGAGAATGGCCTTGAATGCAGAACAAGTGGAATTTCAATTTATATTTAGCAACGGTTATGCACCATTTGGAAAAACGGACAGCTTATGGCAATATTTCATTTCACTTCCCATGAGCCCATGTCTATAATCTCTCAGAACTAAGAACGGGGCAGATTTCAACTTGCACAATTACCTCAGCAATAAAATGTATGCTGGATCCATCGATTCCGATGGATTCCGTATCTGTTCCAATCATACTTGTCAACCGCGATTTGATGCTGTCCACTGTGTGTTGGTCAACAAAATCTTCAACTTTCCCTAAAACAATAAATTGCCACTAAGATCAGATAAAATCTAGATCGCTTACAATCTAGACAGTAAAAAATCTTATCTTATATTATAAAAATCGTTGTGACTACATGTAATTGCCATGGATTATATACCTGTTTGCCGTGAACTTATTAACTTCCATCTAAAATCTTTACAGTTGTACATGTCAAAAATGAAAAATGCAATTGATCTTACTATAAACATGACGTGCATTGCATTATTAACAAATCCCAGCGGGGAATGTCTTACAAGCATTAATAAGGTTACGTCGTCAAATTGAGGTTTCAGATTTTGGTTCGATGAACCCCGTTAGAAAAATGAATTCAATTGCAACAGCAATGGCTTGATTTTCTGGAGAATTTGGACTCAATTAGTCTGTCCTTAAAAGAGCTAATCTATTTAATTAGGATCAAGAAATTTAATTACATGCAGTGGTTAAGAAAATTTGTTTGCACTCATTTCTTCTGATCAGTGATTAACACGTTTGTTCTACTACAACTAAATAATGTAACTGGTTGATGTGATAATAGAAAATTTGAATTAAACGTAGAAGTAACAAAGGATTTGAATATACTCATAAAATGCCTGGCAGTGTCGTAAACTAGCGAACCACATTTGTCATTATAGCCGAATTCATATTAGAGCCGGATAACTCGTCTTTGACTGGAAATTCGTTTGATGTGAATCCGGTCACAGGCGGGTTTCTCGTCCGAATTTTCCCGTCTAAACATGCAGACGGATAAGCTGGACAAGAATCCCGTCTGGACGAGAAATTTGTTTAGAGTTCGAATTTAGACGGATAAATCAGACAAGTTTCTCAAATATATCAACACGGTCAAGAACGGAACAACGCTAAGAGAAAGTACAAACAAAATGATTATCGTACAAATGTATACGTTATCATTTAAGCATTACCCGATCCATGACATACGTATAAACGTATCCACCATCCCTATTTATATTGAGACGGGTTGCAATCAATGTAGGTTAGGAACTGCTAGTCTGGGTTATATACGTTAGTGACAACTATCATTTCTCTGATACTGTAGGGTACCATAGGAAATTAAGTTTTGTGCATGGTTAAGGCATGCTGTAGGCTCCAAAACTCGGCAGTATAGTTGAGGTATTCTCACATTAAGGAGCTAAAGGTCTACAAGCGAAGAACAACGTCTACAAACCAGAGTAAAGTTCAGAGTTACTGAGAAAACGTCTTCGAACCACGCTCACGTTCACGGTTCACGTTCTAAGTCTTATATCGTCAATTTCGGGTTAAAATATATATACAGATTATTTACGAGTTTATGATCTATTATTTTCGTCGCCAATGGCAAAAGAGTATCTACCTATCCTACGTGCGTTTGGACTGTTTCCCCGCCTCAATTGTGCTCACACGTAAGTCTTATACCATATTGGGATAACTGGTTGCCTTTGATGGTGTTAGAGCTTACAATCAACTTTCCCGTCGAAGATGAATTTCCCGTCCCTAATTGGAATTCGGCTATTTTTCTATTACATTGAATGTGTTCATTTTTTGTCAAACATACTCAATGGGGAATACAAATCTTATACCCCACAGAAACTGGAAAACTATAACGAAACTTACCATGCGTGCCAGGTTTTTTGTATCGTATGTATTTTAAGCGTTTCCGTCTCAATTGTTTTTTACTTGGCGAATCATCCTTTCCGACATTGTTATTTACATTCCTCTTTGACTGACGTGCATTATCCTGGAAATGGCACGGAACATGCCGAGCAAGACCGGTTTGTGTTGAAAACGACATGGAGCACCCTTCAAAGATACATTTGAATGGTTTCACCCCAATGTGTGATTCTAAGTGTTTCGTGAGCCAGCTCATTGAACAACTTGGTCGGTTGAAAACTTTACAGTCCTGCCATAGGCAGACAAATACGTCACATGACTTCATTGGGTCAACATGGTTCTCTTGAGCGTGACTAGCAAGCTCAAGCACCTCGCAAGCAGTGAAATCACAATCCATCCATTTACATGAAAAACCTTCGGATTTTTTGCCATCATGTTGTAACCTAAAAATACAAACCTATATATGTTAACCAAATACAAACCTAAATATATATATATATGTTTTTAGTGGAAATACTTAACTCCGAAAGTGGAAATACTTAAATCTGAACGTTGTGCTAAAATGAAGAATAGGCATTTTTACCTTATAGAACCATATATCAGTTGTTTTTCTATTTTTTAAACATTTATCCAATTCCTATAGTCAAAATTTCCACACCTGATAGCAATTTTCAGTTGTTTTAACTGATATGCTGCCAAATGTTTGAGGTTAATATTTTGTTTATAATCAATAAAGAGAGGAAAAAAATGTGCCAGTTTAACTTAGATTATGGCAGAGTTAGATTATGGCAGAGTTAGATTATGGCAGAGTTCAGATACAGTATGTGCACCTATGTTGCTACATAATAGGAAATTTTTGGTCAGACAAATTTTGAATTTAATCAAGTAAAATATCAAGTTGGCAAGTGTATTGCAAACGTTTCAAATAGACAAAACACTTCTCGACATTTCGACCTGAGGGCCTTCGTCGGGAGAGTTAGTATGAAAATAAATAGAGGAGAATACATGTTTTGTATGGGGGCAAAACACATGATAAAAATGGGCCAATAGAAAACAAAAAATCAAAACAAATTGGAATACACTACATTGCCTGCAAAGAGGCACCTTATTGTGGGCTAAGAATAGCCCGCAATGAGGGAAGCCTAATCAGCAACGAAAACATATTACAACCAGCTTTGATGTAAACAAAGGAATGGTAGTCGTATTACTATGGGTGAAGTAGCATTAAATGAAAGAGAGTCTTTCATTTATGCCAGAGGGATGGAGAGTGCCAAGACTGTGGATGAGTCGCATTTCTTGTTGTTTACGGCAATCGTCAGTACCGGAAATGGGGCAGAGGGCTCTAATTTTCATGTCATGTGAGCCCTCATACAAAACATGTATTCTCCCCTGTTTATTTTCATACTAACTCTCCTGATGAAGGCTCTCAGGTCAAAACGTCGAGAAGTGTTTTGTCTATTTAGGCAGTTGTTATACCACATTTGATGCTAAGTTGTTTGAAGACGCTGCCACACTGCTCCTTGGTTATATTGAAACTTATATAGTAAGCATGCATTAATTATCATTAAAGGGATTTATTGCGATTGATATTTTACTTGTAAAAATTGTAGTGACCCAGGCACAAAGAAATCTGTTGGTTTTGAGTATAATGGTGTTTGTAGTTTTCCTGGCTGGATGACAATGGTCAATTTATACATTTTTAGTAGCAGCGATGGTAAATCAGAATGCATAATATACAATAAAATAATAAAATAAAATATTTCACTACGTTTAGTATACACACTGCAATTTATCAGTTCAAAGTTCAAACTTCTTAAAAAATACTCCATTGTAAAATGTAACTAAAATTATTTTTGTGTGTGGGACGACATCAGATAATGGAATGTGTGACAGATTCCCTGTGCAGTATAAATTGTATTTAAATGGTGGCTAGACAATGCTGCAGTCAAACCAAGTCACAATTTCTTTAACTAAACTTATATTATGAAATGACACAAAACTCAAATCAGTCTTATTATTTTACCGAGTATCATTATAGCTAATGTTTCCATCATTAAATACAAAAATAATATAAAGCTAGTTAAGGTAATTGCCCGTTCAATTTTGCTGCATTTACCATGCCGCATTAAGTAAACGGTTTAAATCGAAGTTTCGAACGATTAAAACAGTACAAATCTTACAGACAAAGAAAAAACTTCAATGTTATCTGTATTTTGCAGTCGACGGCGGCTAAAGTTTATACTTTATAAATGTGTATTTTTGTACCAAAATTCAAATTACACTTTCAAAACACTTTTTTGAAGTTAAGCAAAGGTGTAATGCCTTTCACGGTTTATGCGTTTGCATAAAAAGTGAAATTTAAACAAATAACGGCATACAAAGCTGAAAAGTATACAATACGGCTCATCTTGTCGCGAACAAATACGAATAAACAAAGTAAACACTTTAACATTTATAAGTTTTGCAGATTATGAATTATTCCCTTACACGGCTTTGTCTTGACCGTCTGTTCTTTGCTAACTGTCATGCTTCTATATCTTGTTCTTTTCGTTTTACTTCCTTTGCACAAGTTTATGAACGTTTTACAAAATGTTTACGAAATGACAGTTAATATAAATTGCTGCGCTCTCATTGAATACAAACTTTCTGTCTTAGCCAATCAGAATGTTCGTTGATTACCAGACGTTACTCGCGCATGCGCATAACTTAAAACCACCAACGTCGACGTCCATGACAAAGAATTGGACAACTTTGGATTCGCCTATGTCTACCGGGTGTATTCCTAATCTCGAGCGGAATTAGTACCCTCGCAGGCGCTCCGCGCCCGCTCGGGATGAAAATAGTCACAATCTGCATTCATACTTAAAGTTGCTTATTAAAGCATCCCAAATTTAGCAATTGTTTAGTAATTTTGTATATATGTTCATATCATGCACTATGCAAGAGTTGATACTATTTTTCATGGTTAGTACAAAAGCATACAAATTTGCTAATTTTAGACAAATGTATTTTCCACATTTGCAACTTTTCATCTCAGGTCACATAATTTTGAAAAACTATTCTGATATTTAATGTGTGTATTATAATGAAGAATTTAATACACAGAACTTAAAGACAGGAGTGTCGTGTGGGCAATTAAACATGAACTGTTCAATTTGACCCAGTGAAAGAGAGAATGGTGCATCTACATTGACAATATATACCTTGTTAGTCAGATAAGCCTGGACATGCCCTGAACACATGCTTCTATAGAGATATGTTCTGGAAAGTCGTAGTTCTGGTGCAAAAAGCTTGTGTAAAATGAGTGCAGATGCATGAAATCTTTTGTAAGTGTGCAAAAATAATGAATAAAAAATGAAGTGCATATATATAATCGCAGCAACAAGGGGGCAACTTGGACTTGATCATCTGTTTGTTCTCTAACAAAATGATTGTTAGGTATATTTAGGCATCTAATATATGCAAGTTTTCTCAACAAAAATATTGGGTGCAGCTGTGCCTAACTGTGCAGTTTGTAATATGGTAACTTCAGTGGTGTTATTTGATAGGCATTCTTTAGATTAAGGCATCATATCCTATCTACATTAACCATTTATTCCCGTTTCTCCACCTTATTTTTAAATGCTTTAATTTGGCAACACACAAAGCTGCGCAGATAACATTTTAAATGGAATAAGAAGCGAATAATCAAACAAAGAAAATTCCGAATAAAACACACCAACCTAAGCAGAATGCTATGCGAATCACATTCAATTTATTTATTCTAGAAGTCTCTACTCGATGTTCCACTCACAACAAAATATAAACTTACTTATAGAATATTCGCGTTTTGTGTATTTTACCTACTTTCAGAATGTAAACACAAAACATGTCACATTGTTATATACGCATATTTTATGCAAAAAATTCCAAAATATCTTACCTATTTTCGCCTTTCATTTCGTTTTTTGAACTATCTAAATTCGGTACGGTCATGCTTTTATTTCTAACTGGTGATGCACGTAAAGACGATGCCCTTATGCCTTCACGAATGGGACTAGCTTTTCCTGAGTTTATGTGACTGTAAAATCCATTCAATTTAGTTGATAGATGCCCATTTTGTTGGTCCTTTTCACGAAAGCAGGTGGAGATTGTACTATTATTGTCTAGTATAACTCCATTCTTATGCTTTCCTTTCATTTTAACGCCAACATAGAAATTCTTTTCCCTATTTTCTACTATACTATCAACTACATTATTCTCAGCCGCCATATTGTATGTCGATTCACGTGTTCTAAGTCACGTGATAAGACCCTGGGGAAGAGGTGTTACTAACGAACACCGTGTTCATTGGGTTGGCTAAATAGCAAATAGCTTAATGGTTTTACATAGAGAGCCCAATCTTTCACATTTTAATGAATTTATTTCAGTATTAAAAAATACATAAATCCAAAATTGTCTTGATAAGCAAAGAGGAGTGCTATTACTTTTAAAATGTCAATGACAATGTGGTGCAATTTCAAATGTAATTGCGCTATACTTAACATCCGTCTATGTCATTAACGAGTAATAGGTCTAATAGTGAGTTTCTAGTACAATTGCGAAAAAGTACTTTAGCGGCATTAGGCTATTAGCGCTGTCAGCACTCGTCCTTTAGACTCACTTGCGTATGTTTACCCCATTGAAATTCAAAACTATATTGTTACGGTATAGGCACAGACGCACAGTAGTGTCTGTACTAGTCCAGTGGCCAGGTATGAGGAAATTATTATGCTATATGTATGACATCATACTACACCCCATTAGTACAGCCCAACAGTAGTAGCCTGTTGGGCTACTACTCATGTATAGATGTAATCAATGGATAATATAAATCTAAATCTAACCTTTAGTATGATTTTCTACATTCTTAGTTGTGGAAGTTGTTATACATATGATCATGTACTGTCCACATATCTTAATATTGCTGTACTTCTCAGTTCTCAGACTTCAAGAAAAATTTGAACGTTGGAAAAGTTTGAGTTGCACCCATTGGCTGGGCCTCCCTTTTTTATTGCTGTGAAAATCATGATGACTATCAGTGCTGTTTAATTTAACCACTACTGGAAATCTGGAATCTGGAAACAAAGTATATATCAACAGTATTTTAGCTGCGTGACGATGTTTGCCTGTGTTGACGAACTCTACATGAGTACATGTTAACGAACTGTACATCTAGATTTTGGTAATTCATGGGTAATAAACGGTCTGTTTGCTTGTGGTATAGAAAGGTGACAGACTACATGCAAAAACCTTAGAATCATCAGACTCAACCAACTACTCCAGCTACAAATACATAGGCGCAAAAAAATTTTGAAAATCAAGAAATTCGGGCAAAGTTCAGCCGAAACTTCTGGCAAACTGAAAGCTAAATTACATGGCTAAAATTTTTAAAACCAAATTTTGTAATATATATATAACATATTTGTATACTATTTCGCTATTTTTGTTACACTTTCTTAAAAGCACATCCGCCGCTTTGCCAAATCTGGTAAAAGTTATAATTCGGGCACATTGTATAAATGAAAACTTCGGGCGATTTTTTTTTGCCCCTCAAACTAAGTTGCGCCCGTACGCCTATGTACAAGTATAAGCAGACAAAGATTTAGGAATATAGATACAGTAAACTAATACTCCCGAACCATGATTACGTCCAAAATATATTTTTGGCCTGGACACCTCCGTGTAAAATGGTAATTTTTCTGAATTATTTTCATTTCAGACATCTGAGGGTAAAGGGAAAGTTCAGTCTCCTCTATGAATGTGCAAAAACTTCCTAACCGGTCCTAACAACGGTACGCCCTAAGCAGTGAGCTATATATAGAGAGAGAGAGTTCACGGAGCTATTAGAGGACAGTGAGCTTTCTCTCTCTATATCAGAGAGCGAGAGTTCACTGGCCCCCTTAGGCCTGTTTCAAACGTCGCATTTTGCATGTGTCGAATACAATTCTAATTAGATTCGACCCTAAAACAATAATCCGACCGTCATTTCAAATGTCGCATTTCGCATGTGCTGAATTCAATTAGCGGCAGTCCGCTTGGGCGCATATCATGACGTAAATGACGTAAATAAATAAATAAAGCAATGGCGCAATATGGCGCCAAATTCAAATAAGTGTACCAAAATATTAATATTAAATAATATAATACATCGGGCAAGGCAGAGGCGAAAGACATTCGAAGCAGCTTTGCACTTTTTAATAAGTCGTAGACAAAAGCTATTAAAAATATGTGCTGTGGTAGTTCTCCTTTTATCCGCACGAAATTCAGCTACAACCGTGAAGCGTTCATGTCGGAGATTTCAACGAAATCCAGGTTGGTGGAATATTGTGTGGCAAACATACTCTGATGCTCGGTTTAAAAAAACCTTCAGAGTGTCAAGAGGTACATTTTCTTTTATTCTTGGGCGCATACGTACTAAATTGGAAAGGAAATCTTTAACAGAGGAGCCTGTTGAGCCGGCTTTGCGACTGGCTATCTGTCTCTATCGCCTTGGCCGTGGGACATATTACTACACTATCTCAGAACTTTGTGGTCTTGGATTGTCAACAGTTGCAACAATTACCCGAGAAGTATCTGAAGCTATTGTTGAGATACTATGGGAAGACAGTGTCAACAAGCATATGCCAAACTCAGAGGAGACCTTTCGGGAAAAAATCTTGGATATGGAAGAAATGTGGCAATTTCCATGTTGTTGGGCTGCAGTTGATGGTTGCCATATCCCTATTAAGTGTCCTCCAGGTGGAATGCAAGCTTGCAAAGAGTACCATAACTTTAAGAACTTTTACTCTATTGTCCTCATGGCATTGGTTGACTCACATTATCGATTCATTTGGGGAGCTGTGGCTACCCAGGAAACTCACACGACTCAATAATTCTACAGTCAACTGAGCTTTGGTCAAATATCGAAGAGGGCGATGGTCTACCATCGATAGGAAAAAAAGTGGGCACACAAACTGTGCCTCCTCTTATTGTTGGTGATTCAGCATTCCCACTCGCACCATGGCTGATGAAACCCTACACCAATGCTGTTTTATCACCCGAACAGAGATACTTTAATTATCGGCTAAGTCGTGCTCGGATGGTCACAGAGGGGGCATATGGCCAGTTAAAGGGAAGATGGCGTGTGCTTCTTCGGAAATGTGAGAGCGACAGCAAGAATGTTCGCATATTTGCACTTGCCTGTATGGTACTCCACAATATTTGTATCAATCTGGGTGATACAATGCCAAAAAAGTTGGACCTTACCATTGACCCTACTACCAGTGAGAAGAGGGATAGAGAAAAAATTCGGGAAATACTGCAAATGACCAATTGTTCCAAAGTAAACAATTCATCGCCTCTGGCGGAAAAGATTAGAATGGCATTGGTTGAAAAACTTTGGCTTGAAAAAGAGACTGGATTTATTCGAACATAATTGAACGTTGTTCTTGTTTATTCTGTTAAAAGGAATTTAAGAGTTTTTGCTGAAGTCAAAAGTGATGCATTATATATATCCCCAACATTACCTTATGAGGGGACACTTCACGTTAATTTCAACTTTGAAGTGTTTGCAACAGTAACTTTGAATTTAAAAAATTACAGTAGGAAGAAATGCTCAAATGAGCAAAATGAATGGGAAAAGATGTTTCATTGAATATGCGCTGTTGATATGGTATCAGAGTTTAAGTGTAAGGTTACTCTTGCTAATAATTAATATACAAATTTATATACTCTAGTAAGTGTGTTTGAAAAAATTTCTTTCTCTGCATAAGGTAATATTTATGCATCAGTATTGACTTGGGCAAAAACCCTAGTAAAATGTTTGTATTAATCTGTTCTTTTTACCAAAAAATGCAAAATGTTAATAATAAATATTTATGTTCAAAAATATTGTTCTGGTTTGTCATAGACTGTAATTCAATATAGTCTAGATTTTCCATATGGGAACTCTTGAATACAAATGTTTTCATCAGAGCTAGTGCCTTCACATATTACATGCACATTGGCTTAACTACCTCTGCTGCAAACAAAATCTAAATGTTTGTCCAATTCTTCCTTCTGACATCTATTATAATATTTCTTACAGTTATTTTTAAAGATTGTACATTTGGAAACAAAACAGCAACAATTCTAAATCCCTATTGTACAATACTTAGCCTACTTGGTCACACTTGGGGACTGAACCCATTTCCAGGATGATATACAAAGCTTGAGGGTTGGCCAATGGTTGGCATGTTATACATAGGACTCTCAGTACTTTGATTACTAAAATATTGCTGAGGGCTACTCCAATTTTGATGTGGTCCTCCATGGACAGAACCAAAACTCATACCTGAGATATCATGTGGTGGAACAAGATTAACCTGGTTACTGTTAGTTGGTGTAGAAGTATGTTTTAACATTAATTCCACCAACTGAAGCTCATGCTTTCTTGCCTTGTCTGCTTCTTCTTGCATAAATGTAATTAGCTCCTTTGCTGGATCTTTTTCAACAATTTGCTTAAGCAATTCAACAGCTTCAGTTACTTGATTTTTCTTTGGGAGCTTTATTTTCTTTTGAGGAACAAAGTCATCAAAGGTTTTTGCAATCTCTTCCTCTTCACTAAGATCATTAAGTGCAGAAGGTTCAACTGCCATACCGGGTTGACATGAGTCACGTGTTTTCACAAGTGGAAAAAGCAAGTCAAACCATTTTCCAAATCCTTTTTCATCTTGGAAGCGTTGGATTCCAGTGGCAGTTTTTTATTCATGGCAAGCTTGTTTACAATCGCTGACACAACGTTTAAATTTTGTCCTCAACTGTTGAACAGTGAACGTAATCTCTTCTCCTCTTTTTTGCTCTTTTTTCAGCTCAGTTAATACCTTTTCATAAATAATGCCATTATTTTGATTTTTTGTGTTAGTAAATATCAACTTTTGTTTATTGTAGTCATCAGATGTAATGATATCCACTAAGTCATCCACAGCATCAGTACTCCACACTGCTTTTCTTCCAGCCTTTCCTTTTTTTCTCTTGGTACCAATAAATCTTGTGCAATTTTCTTCACCATCATCCTCATTCTGTGGGATTGTAGAACTATCACCGGCATTTGTTTGCTCACTATATAAAACAATACACAAATTGCCCAAATGTGTACCAGCAATAGTTGGTTGCAAATTGTGGACATGAATAAAGTACACCAGGAAAAGTATTATGGAAGCAAATTATTTTCAGTATATAGCATTGGGATAGCCATGTTTGGACATTAAATGGGTGGTCAATTTCTAGCCTCCAATCCTTCAGTTTCTGGAAGGCACAATTTTGATAATCATATTATTTTAACATTTATAGCTATTGTTGCTATATAGCAAATGACGAATAAAAAAATCAATAAAATTGGCTGATTCAGCCTGACGTCAACTGAATTCAAAAGAAATAATCACTTTTTACGTCGATATGTTTTTACGTCATACATTCAAAAATGTCACATTTCTAACCTTTTCTTGTTATTTTCTAATTTTTCTTCATACTCTTGCCCAAAAATATTGCAATTGATACAATATCCAACTGCTTTCCCAGCAAGCCAGCCTTGGCATTCGTCGTCTGGTTCATGTATCGCGCAGCGATTACAAACAGACGCAGAACACTGCAGGCAAATGTAGTTTGTTAGCTTTCCACATGAAATACAATACGTCGTCGACTGTTTTGGTTCAATATTTCCTTTGTCTTTGTCCTCCATATTTGCATATACCACATGGACGAAAAAACGCGGGAAATTCTTTCAATAATATAACATGACGTTCTTCGTCTTTTTCTTCAAGCGAATTAAATTCGACACATGCAAAATGCGACCTATGAAACCACGTCGCATCGAGCTCGCATAATGCGACCGGAACAGTCGAATTTAGCATCACGGTCGACCGCAATTAAAAACGGCGAATTCAATTGTTTCATACGTCGCATCTCGCATGCAGATAATTCAAACAATTGTATTCGACACATGCAAAATGCGACGTTTGAAACAGGCCTTAGTAGGAAATTTTGATTTTCGTGTCCAAACTCGCGCGACGCGATTAACCACGCGTGACGGTTACGTGGGTTTCCACGAAGATTCTTCAACTGCTTGATTCGTACTTCGTAGTCGTCGCGTGGTTTGATCGAAAAATTTGTTGATTGTTGGAAGGGTTTTCATATTAGCGAGAATTTGCTTTCTTTTCTTGCAAGATATTCGGTAAAAGAAAGAAGACTACCGTTAGAAGATATAAGGCTGATCAAGTAATGTACTTTTTGATAATCTATGAATATTTGCAGTCGTTTTACGAAAGACAAATTATGATGCGCGTTTCATCATTAGGTTCGATTCATAAACTCGGTCAATTTTTGTGAACATCTCTTGCGATAAATATTCGTATATAGATTAATAGTTTGACTACAACTATTTTATTTTGCTTTTCAGTAGTTTATTAGGAATACTGACGCTTTTTCTTGTTGGTTATTGTATATTTTATCGCATCTGGTGTGCAGTAATATCAAGACTTGAGGCCTATATTAGACGAATTGCATTTATTAGAAATGTAAAGTTTTAAGAATTTAGTTTTAGGAACTATTTTTCTACAATTCAATTGCCCCTGTTGTGCTATTAAATCATCGTCATATATACACGTTTTATACGTTGTCTACACGTAGATACAATGTTGGACAATGTTACTAGTAATATTCCTGTAATTTCGCATGGTGATTGGTGATATCACAATATCACTAAATTAGCTTGTAGATACACTGCATGTATTTAATATTGCAAAGCTTTTGGTCTGTTAACCTGGGCCTTCATCAGTGCAGGCACAGGTTACCAGCCTGGAAGCTTTGCAATATTAATCACTTGTGTGGTGTACCTATACATACAAGCTAATTTATTTATGTTACTAATTCCCCGTCAAACATGTCTATACATGTTCTTCGTAAAGCAAACTAAAGCCATTTAAATATTTTATATGACTGCATGAAATTTCCACACAATACTACTGCAAGTTAGTCGTTGACTGCATTGACTTGGCTTTGTTCTTGCAAGCAAATTTTTTATTTTATGATCTGCCCCTTCTGTCCAGCATAAGCCTTTGTATAGCTTTTTATTAAATTCCAATCTTGTGAAAAAATATTTACAGTGGCTAATAAATTTGTAAAAAACTTTTCACAATGATACTACACTGAAAACAATCATGACCCACATATTAGAAACCAATACATATTCACAGATGAATGTTTTTCTCTATCAATGACCTTACTATCCTCTCATTTACCAAGATTTATGTCACAAATTATTGCAGTATGTGTTTGAGACCTCTTTTGACTTTTGAGCAGTAGAGATTTGCTGTTAGTGTTGTAATGAGTGACTAGTCACACTTCCAACGTGATTTGCTAGTCATTCACCGTGCAAGTTAATTACACTTTTGGTTGGACTTCTTTGCTTAGCTAAACAAAGTCTGTGTTTCCTAATAAAGTTTCTATTTTTTAACCAGTGTCGACAAATAATCCACAATACAGCTCACAGAAGAAATTAAGGTGACTCACAACGTAGTTTTAAACTGCATTAACAGGCACCTGTAAATCTGACGTTATATTCACAGTTACTTTTTATAAGGTCTTACTTCAGCACTAATTTCACTCATTTCTTCACATTTCTAAAACAACTCCCTCCCACCTTCCCATACTTCCAGAAAAGCCTTGGTTGATGAGATTTGACTGACTTCATTTAACTCAATGATTAGAAGCCATCAGTATAAGGTGCATCTACTTCAAAATCCTATTCACTCCAATATGATCAATTGTTAGATGCATAACAACTTCCTTATTTATAGTAAATAATCTGCTACATTGAATAAATGACATCAATTTTTTGTTCCCTTCTGTACACTCAAGAAAAAAGAAGTGTCTTTTTAATGTGGGGTCCTGATTACAAATACATATTTCTTATGTTACGCAAATAGGGTTCGATGTTGCATTCTTAAATTCACTGCGTCAAATTTCACTTGAGTATGTTAATAGAGTGTCCCAAGTAACAAAGTAAAAGATCGCAGATATTAGTCATAGTCAACACATATACATATCTGTAGTTGAAAGAGTGATGTAGTTTTTCCTGTGGAAGCCCTATTTGCTTTCACCACTTTTAAAATATCCCTAATGTACAATTTGGCAAAGGCCAAAAGTGGACGCACAAACAACTGCAGATAATTACCATTGTGTGATGTTAGACAATGCAATATATTTAGGAGCTTATGATGAATGTTATGGAAATGATGAAATAAATTTTGGCTGGAAAACAATCTAATTTTTTTACTGGAAAACATAGCTCTAAAAGCGTGAAACTTAAAAGAGAGAATGCTTACAAAATACTTGGCTGTCTACATTCGGCAACATGCATGTATTATATTCAGAACCGCCTTGTAAGTTGCAAGAAAAGTTGCATTGTGTAGCATCGTTTTAGTTAAGTTCATGTACCCGAGGTTTCTTTAATCAGGCTCTCAAAATAATGGCCGGTAAACGGACAATGAGGGAAAATGGTCGAAAATGCTTGTTGACCAGTTAATTTTTTTCCATGCCGGTCATTTTGACGGGTCAAATTTGTTTAATAATTCGCTTGGCCTATTTACCAACTTAACATTCGCATTTGAGCAACATTAATTACCATACAGTACATAAATCTCTTGAAAAGCACTATACTATTAACATATACTATAAAGAAGAATCCGGGTGTTTTGGTTCTTGATTTGTCATGTTGAATTAGTGACCGGACAAAAACGGATTTTGACCGAGCAAAAATGAGGTTGGACGGTCAATTTAACCGGAGATACCTCGACCTGTATTTGGAGCCCTATTTAATATATACTTTTAGAGTATACCGGCAAACGTAATGCAACTATACAACTGTACAGTCAATCAGGCAGTGCATTTTGCTTAGCAGCTTTAGAAATGTTTCTTGGGTCAGGTACAGGCGTGAGCTTAAGTTGCACATTTACTGGGGTTTTTTGTTAACGTAGGGTATGAAGTATATACGCTGGCTCAGCCTGGCTGCAGTATAATACACACTTTTGTAGCAGTATAGGGTGTTCGGTTACCAAAGCTAACTTCTGTATTTTTGCGCCCTTTATAGCTGCACCCTGCAAGCGCTTGGATAGTGCTACACAAAGAGTTGCCTCGACGCTATAAGTCCGTGCGCTAAACAGGAAGCGCATCGCTGCCGTTTGCCATATAAGCACGAGTATTAAAGTGCGCTGACGCAAAGAGCGCATTTGAAGCTAAACAGCCGCACGCAAGTTGACCGACGACGCGTAAGAAGCAGGCCTTGACGCACGCGGTTCGTAGACGACGCGGCGACGTAAGCGCAGAATCCTAGATAATCTCCATGGAAGGCGAAAAGACGGACGCGAACGTGGAGAAATCTGACGAGCAAATTTGCAGAGATTTCCAGCGAGGTGTCTGCAGTCGCGGGGATAAATGCAAGTTCGCTCATCCCTCGGGAATGGGCAGCGAGCCTAAAGATCAGCCAATGATATGCCGCGATTTCCAAAACGGCACGTGCAACCGGAGCACGTGCAAGTACCTTCACGTGACCAACCAAGAGGAAAAAGATTTTATGCGTACCGGGCAACTTCCGCCGGGACATCCTCGCGGCGTACGTGGCCGGGATTCCAACGTTCCGATCTGTAAAGATTTCCTCAACCACAAGTGCAACCGTGGTTCTGGGTGTAAGTTCCGTCACATTCCGGAGGATATGTACGGCGGTGGGGGAGGCTACTACGATGAACCACCGCGGAAACGTCCCAGAGATGCGATGGATAACGACTACCGTTACCTCATGGAAGAAAATGTCTCGTTGAGACGAAAAGTATCCGAGCTGCAGAAAGATGTTTCGGATCTTCGAGCCACCAATGATATCTTGTTGGAGCAGAATGCCCGCTACAGGAGGTCCGGGGGAGGTGCGGCTCCCTCATATGGAGGCGGCTACGGCACCGATTCGTACAGCGGTTCCGCTTCCAGCGTAAGCTATCCTTCACGAGATTCATACGCGGGTGCTGGAAGTTATAATGCGTATGCATCTGCCAAACCCACCGGAACAACTGGTTACGATGGTTATACCAAATTTGAATGAAGAACTGATTGGATATTTTAATTATTAAGGGTTTTCACTTTTTAATTAGCTACATATTCAAAAGAAAACTATTGACAGTAATGAAGGACGCAATACTGCTCTCTTTTTACTTAACATGACCTTGTGGGAGAGATCATTTGATATCCTGAGAGGCCTTTTTTTAATTGGTAAAAACTCTTGTAGAAGTATTACCTATCCTTCCATGGTCGTAATATTTCTAAAAACGTTAGTCTATAACTAAATGCGGCAGTCTGATAAAACTATGTTGAATTTCATGTTACAACAGGCTATCTCACGATCCATCTTTCTTTACAAGTTAAATATTCTGTATGTAGCTTTACATCATGTAATACTTGTTTCAAACAACTCAAAAATATAATTGTTCTGTGGAAAGATTGTTTCGCATTGTCAGCGGAGTGAGATTTGGATTCTCGTGTATACGTGAAGATTTTTATTGCGTTCATTTTCTGCAAGTTCACATTACATGTGATTTCCCCGTTCATATTTTAGCCAATCAGCGCTCAGAAAGTCTGTCGAAATAGAAATCCATTCTGCATTACCTAATGAATTCTGCCTTTTGGCACTCAAAATTTTGTGATTTGGTTTAGCTATGAAAATTATAGCTCTGGCATAAATTTGAAACGGAAATATAGTATATTTCATAATAATTATATTAATTTGAGAACAACCCGAGAAATGGATTTTTATTTGACAATTATTCTCAGTCCTTTCCCGTCATTTCAGATCATCTGACCTTAGTGGCCTATTGTATTTTTGGGTCTCTATGCTTGATTTCCTGCATTTTGGGTGATACTTACTGACGGATCCCTGTCAGTGGAGTGAGGTTTATCGGTTATTATTCTTCTAAACATGGCTATTTTGCTAATATTTTCCTCAAAAGAGGAACCTTCACTTTTTTTATGCCCGCACGATATGCAACAGCGCATGACGCTTTAACCCTCTGTTCTGGATCTGACACGTGATTTTGTGAATTTTTAGAGCAAAATGCTTTTAGATGTCTTTTAATGCATTGATAATCGACAAGCTCATTTAAATCAATGTCACCGTTGATTGCAAGTGGGTGCAGTGAATGTTTCTTGGTTATGGGTTAAAATAAAAGATGAGAATCGGGCTATAAGAATGGAAATTTCAAATGTAATCGCGCACTCGTAGTATGTTTGAAATTTGCATTCTTTCAAAAATTTTGGCATCGTTGGCTAAGGCGATGGTAAAACACCCTCCTCCCCTTCGTCAAAGACATTGAAAATGTTGGGAATCATTTGACACCCACACTTATCTTTTGTTTTTATTTCGATCAGCGCATATGCATGAGCCATCCTTTACGCTGACATACGTGCAACATCGCAAGCCATGCTCTTTTAGCAGCGAGGGGGGGGGGGGCGTAGTAGATTTGTTTCCATATCAGTTCACATACTCCACTTTACATCGAAAACGATGAGGTTCATGTGAAAATCTAGGATGTTGTGTCTCGGAAAATGCAACACATAAATTGTTCACCCGGAGCTACATTTTCAATCAACAATGACTGATAACTTTGGTTGACTGTTATGTCACCATCGAGTTTATAGCATAGAGATTATAAATAAAACTAGAGGAGTCATCGAGGAGAAATTGGGGAGCGCGTTAATGGGGGGCAAATCCAAGTCCCGGATGTTCACTCATTCATGATGTCCGAGGCCAAAATATGTCGTTTTTAACGAGTTTTTTTTATTTCTAAATGTTTTTTTGCCTAAAATATCGTCTCAGGATGTCTAAATTAGTAAAACCAGTTTCAAAAAGCACTGTTTTTCCTTAAAAAACCGGCAAAGCGACCTAAATAACGAATATAATTTTTTTAAAATTGTTGCTAACGTGGTTGCTAAGGAGGCATTGATCTAGCCAATCAGCGCTTGGCTTAGCATCCGGGACTTGAATTTGCCCCCCATTATCGCGCTCCCTTTTTCGACTGATGTTTCCGATACCAATGCCCCCTCTAGTGTTATTTATAATCTCTATGGTTTATAGTACTCAAGCTAAATGGTGGCGATAGCAAAAAGAAAAAGGTCGATTGGGCGTAGAGTTTGAGGACATACATATCCTGTGACACTGGTCGTGGGCAATAGAATTACAGAAACACGGTAACGGTAACTACATTTCTACAATTTATGGCACAAATATTTAACCAAGTTAAACCACCTTAACAACATATTAAATTTCATATAATTATTTCCATAATGAAGTTTGAAAGAAATGACTACAATTACAAGTTTATAGTTTATCAGTACCACTGACTAAAATCTGTCATTCAAAGTGCACGATATCTTTTCATCATTTTTTTCTACAGATTCAAACTCCCTTGCAAACGAAGATCAATTCAAAACCATGTCTAAAATAGCAATGAAATATGCTAAGATAAGTGTGTAACAAAAAAAAGATGGACTGAAGATGATTTAATCGAAACTAGTATCCACAAAAAAGTCGGAAAACGGTAAAAAGGATAAGGATACCTTGAAAGAATTTGTACGAGTTTGAACGAGTTTGTGTAAAATATATTTTTATTTTTTAGCAAAATTTTGCGTATTAATACAATTTGGGTTATATATACAGGCTAGTTACGCTAGTGACCACATGGTAATATACCCCAGCTAAGGTCACTAACCTTTATAACAGACGGACGTTACAGCTATAGCCTATATAACGGACGGATGATCAGACAAACGAGCAGGACACACAGTTTAGCTTTAACAACGATGTTTTTGGTTCGAACCTTGGAAGAAACATACACACAGAGAAGCCTAAACAATAATGTGCTTAGTTCAAATATTGAAAGAAAGAACCGAAACAATTCTCCATCAAGAACATTAGAACCAAGCCACGTTCCAGTAACTGCAAAAACGGTTGCTCAAACTGAGGGAGAAAATTTGCTAAATAATACGCTTAAAATAAAAAAGTTCCTGGTGAAATGAAAAACAGTCGTTTTAGATTTCACTGTTTCCTCATAGGAATCAATAAATAAATAAAATAAAACTTTATTAATAAAATTCACAATGTGGAATGGTAAAATATTTTAAAACAACAAAACTAATAGCAAATTTTTAAGAGTGACGAATGAGCTCAAAGTTGCCAAAATTTGGCCTAACGTTGGTCAGGAAAAGTCGCCCCTTGGCGAGCATGCGCATTTGGCCACTCTTCGCTCACGCGCATTAAAAAAACGCCATATTCATTTAATATACCCGACCAAGTTTCAGTCATTGCTGAGTGCCAGCTCTGTATTTTTTACTCTGTTTTGAATGCACGCGTCAACAAACTGCGCGCGCGACAATGGCGATATCAAACGAACTCGATTCAAAAAAATAACGATTAGTTAACTACAGAATATAGAATATAGCAAAATTTTACTCACAAAATCAGCAGAAATGGCAAATAAAGTGCATATAGTTGCACACATAGATACTTAACTGCAACCTCGTGCAAATGCAGTACTCACTGTGCGGATGGAACGCTCTTTTCTTAACCGAACAACGTAGCACTTCGTACTCTTCTGCACGCGATCAATTCCGTACCCAATTGAATATACGAGACAAATAATCGCAAATCGACAACTTCATCATTAGAATATAAAGAAATTCCTTCTTACCTTTTCCGTGGTCTTTCTTTGAACTTTCTTGGAGTTTGTTTTTGTTCATAATTTCCTCTTCGATCAAGATTCTCTTCGCGTTATCAATCAACGAAAAGACGTAGTTTTGTATATCTAGAAATTCTAGAAGCGCTGGCTGGTACTTTCTTCCAGAGTAAATATCCAACCGATATTGACCCGGTGGCACAGTTTTTCGACTTTCATTGCTAGCCATTTTAAAAGAATTTTCACTCGTTGAAAGTAATGTTTTCACTCGCGCAGTCAGACAATTATGACAGTGATTATGACGAAGCTAATTATTGCGTCAAATATTTTCGCGCCATCGCGTCCGCAATATTCGGTAACTAATTAGCGCAATTAGCGCACTGATCGTAATCATCACATATAAAAGGCATTTTATTTATTGCATTGACATTGCTAAACTGCATTTGCTAACATCTAATCTGAAATCAATTTTCCACAAGGAACTAAATCCAATTTCAATTTTCGCATCAATCTGGTGGCATGTGTAATAAACTTTATTTGAAGACGGGAAGTGAAGTACATAATTATACACCCCAGTTTAGCCTGTGCTAATCTTCCACTCGGGTTTTTAGACACATATACCACATTTACACTATACTTATACTAACATGCATACAAGAAATTATGAATTACTACTAATAAGCATTGAAAAAAAAGTTTCGCGTTTAAAACGGCTGATTTTGTTGACCATCATGATATTTTAAAATTCAATTATAATGTGGCATGATATCTCAATCACCTTACAGTCCTTTCTCGTGCGATGTCTATGAAAGTTCCTATCAAAATTCATGTGTCCTGAATGAGATTGGGAGGAAGACACATTCCTTACATTGAATGTAAATGACTCATTTCGTAGCATCACTTTGCACTTTGATATGCTGAATAGCATTTAAAAGATAAGATCTTCACTAATTCATTGCTCCATTGATGACCAAGTGATTGATGTTTGTCCTCTTGACCGTGATGTTTGCTATTATTTTAACACAATAGGTGCATTAATGATGCATTTTACCCTACATATCGCACAAGCACTTTCCACAGGAATGAAAAATGGATAACAATCAAACTAACCTGCAATTTTCTGCGTGGCATTGGCTATTATAATATAGAGGATCTCAAATTCACTGCTTCAGTCATGAGCAAATGATGTTTGTCCCTTTATGTTTGCCATAACCTTAACATAATAAGATCAGGACTAACATTCTTTTCTGAGGGTTCGTCAGATTATGGCATGCGATTATGTTTGCTCAATGTTCTTAGTGGTATGAGTTATTTCACTTGCATTCAGTTACCTGTCCATCAAAAGAGCAAACTATAGTCCTAGTTTTAAGTTTAAGTAGACTCCAATGGCAATGGAATAATGTATGGCCACAAAGCAAAAGACAAATCGATAGAAAAATCGAATTTTTGACAAACAAATGCTGATTTAAACAAATCCTTTAGGGCGATGTCTCATTTGACTTAAAATTTTTAAAAAGATGGATGAAGTGGATCTTCTGAGCTAAAAGGTAGTTTATGAGATTATTTGATGCTGGCAAAAACAGGAAAAAATATAGCTGAGTAGGAAAGCTGTGCAATAGTTATTTTTGAGTTTAGAAAACATGTAATACATGCTTTAGATAGAATATATCTCCAGG